AAGTAATAATTTAGTACCTTGGCCTTTGCTGCATCCGGAACCTGTGTACTTTTCATGCCGTACAACCGAAGAACCTTTTTAAGCTCCACAAATCGATACTGTTCTTTCAGCTCCAGGTTACTACAGACAGGAATCAAGAACATTATTGAGGCTGGTACTGTTCTCCAGCTTGTTAGGCGATGAACCCTTCCTTTTTGAACATCTGGTTTGGTATATTTTTTACAGACATTGTATTATTTCACGATAATAGAGCAGGTACATGTTAAGTAATTGCCGCCATCTCGGTTGAAGATAACAAAGCATTCCTCATTAGCTTCTGTTGTTAGATCAACCAACATGGCGGCTGTTTCACTGTTGTTCATATGTAAAGGGATTTTGAACCACATGGTTGCATACACTCTATAGCTAAACATTCCTTTCGTAAATTGATGTACTGCACCATATCAGAACAAGTCCAGTACTATTTYTATTGACGACAAAATTACCAGGTGAGGGCCTTTACGTGAATCATAAACTATCTCACTCTTGACCTTCAAATAATCRCCATTAAATGAAAGTCTTCTCCCAGGCTTTTTTGACGATGTAAATTGCGTTTATGTACTGCTGCTAAGTATTTAGSAAACTTGGAAAGGGTAGCTGAGATCTGAGTGGCCCGGTAGTACCCGGTAGCACCCGGTAGTACCCGGCAGTACCCGGTAGGCACATTTAAGATAGTGTTGCGTGTTATTCATTAAGACATACTTGGGGTAAGCGGTCATGGCATCGTGTACCAGCTTTTCCACTGCATCACTCCACGGCACCAGGGCGTGTCGCATGACTTCAAGCGTTGCCTGGCAATACGCCTAAATACGAAATCAAGTCTATGAGTGATGAATATTAAGAAACAAATTTCCTCAGAACAACAACAACAAAAAAGTAGGATGCCTGTCAAAAGCCATTTAAGTGTCTGACCACTTTCGAACATTCATTTTGAGCCCACGAGCATACGCGCACAAACCGCTGAATTACTACGACAGTCCTTGATAAGAAACTATACACTTCTTCAACTTTTACTGTACTAAAAATGAGCTAAAAGTGCCATCTATTTAAAAACCAAGACAGATTGACTGGTCCTTTTTTTCTTATATAAAAAAGAGTAATCTCCCCTGCAGAGGTTCCTACCAGCTTGTCTACTACTTACACGTTTATCTTTGATGTAGTTAATCACGGCAATAACTCTTGCCTCCCACAGGGAATTTGACAATGACGAATACGATCCAGATATTTTAACAAACATTTCCTAAAACGATAAAATTAAAAAGCCGTAAAGAAATAGCACAGTACAGTCTTCATGCGATCCAGAAAACAAGAACATTCTAGTCGGTCTGACTCGACTTACCATAACACTGTGACCTACCTTCATCCCCTTCATCATCATCATGATCACCACCACCACCATCACACATCATCATCATCATTATCACCACCATAATCATCATCATCATTCTAGTGACTAACTTGACCTACCTTAACATAGTCTAATAATACTTGGTCTTTGTCTAGACTGTGATGGATCATGTAAGGTGCTATGTACTTGTTCATCGCTTGAGGAAGCAACTCAGCTGCTTTTACACTGTCAAGAAGTCGAAACACAAGTGTACTGGTAGTCTCCTACGAAGATAAACATTCGTACAAAGATCTTAATCTTTAAAATACTTTCTTTTGCTTTTCGAATGACGTTTGGCGATCAAGTCTACTATTCCTTTTCAACCATGGTTTTCCTGTCGCCAAATTAAATTTTTTGGGATTGCAAAATCGAGAAAAGCTAGAGARTTTGACTCAGCGAAAGTTCATATCATGACATGTTTTAATCGTTTTAATGATTTATTATTTYATTATGAGCAAATAACGACAAGAAAAGGAGAAGAAATGTTGTGAGGCTGATATTTGGTCCTAAATAAAGCAATACAATTGAGTTGATGATTTTTATTGTTCATTGTTTTCTCACATTGAAGCGCAATGTTGTTACACAACCAAAATAAGGTAGAATATATCAAGAAAAGCGCGGGAAAAACTGCAGCATGTATCGACAATTTRAAACAAAAAAATGATTCTAGAATGCTGAACACTAGCTCATTCAAACATCGGTGACAAATACAGCTATTTAAAAAAATAGTTTGATGAAGGTTTTATTTCATGTTGCATACCAAGCTTTAAATGTTATATATTCATWTGTGAAAATATGCTGGTAAAACATGCAGACAAAGTTTGGGAAAATTCCATATTGGTATGCAACATGCAACAAAATTTACAACAACCATTTTTGAAATAGCTGTAGTTTAGTTATAGATTTAGCTCAGTGTGTGTAAAAAAATTACCACATGGCTAGTGTGGCTCAAAATTAGCAKTAAGGAAGGTTCTGTTACCTTAGAAAACTCAGCAAGGCTAATACGGCAGCTGTATTTAGTATGTAAGTCCAATAACTCTCTCAGGTGGCGAACTAGATCTGCCAGTCCAGCCAATCCACTCTGTATCGTTCAAATCATACGTTATTAATTGCACCGATGACAAGAAGAGACGAAAAACATGCAACGCAAGACTGAGTGGTTTTAACGAACTTGAAATGCATAAATTTGTTAGATATTATATTTTTTGCCATTTTATGAAAGGTTTATTAAACAAATTTTTCGATAGACAACAGGGGAGCTGTAAGGATTTCCCACTGGAGCTTACTCTTCACTGATCCAAGCATATCTCCCATCCCAGCTCCGGTCAAAACACATGCKGAGTTGTTAATACCAATAAGAGGGGTAAATCACAAAGAACCAAGGACCCCTGTCAATCCCTCTTTGATTAACTGATCAAACCCAAAACATTCATTCTAAAATGGTTTCAAAGGAAGTTTTCGTGTTGGTATACTGTATACCATTAAATGTTTAGAGTTTAATCAGAGTCAAGATATAAAAGGAGTTCTGTTGGTACATTCCAACCAGTGGTCCGAGTCAGTGCTATCGTATTCACGCTAATTAACCTGTTTATTCCTTGTTTTACCTGTTTATTCTGTTCGTTTTCTTGATCCTGTGTTGATGAACAAGTAGAAGGTGCTTGTAGTACACTTGCTAACTCAAGAGCATTTGCAGGCCAACCACTCTGTTYAAATGAAAATAGGCTGTCAGTAGATGGAATATAACATCTTTTTCAGTGACGCATAGCTTGGAAATCTTCCCCTTTTATTTTGTGATTTTGCACCCCCCACCCCACCCCCCATAGTCTTAACATTGATACATTCTCAGAGAAACTGACTATAGATATTGTTAATATTGTTAATGTGAAAGGAACCTTTTCAGTGAGCTCCATCGTTCTTGCTCTTTGCTCCAACCATGATGCTAGTGTCTCCTACAAAATATACAAAGAATGAACGACAACAACAACAAAAATCCACACTTGAAAACAAAGATGACGACAAAATTCTCCAGATGGAATGGAAAAGAAATAATAACATCAACGACATCAGCATCACAACAGACCACCATTTGTCTTGGTTGAGCATAAGGACTGTTATGACGAGGCCAATGGTTCAAGCCCTGGCTGGACCAACACTCAGGGTCTTAAAATAACTAATTCAAGGATAAAGTGCTGCCTTTCAAGTGGCTCGGATGACCACTTGAAATATAGCAGTCCCATCTCCCCACACTTCCTCATTACTAACCAATATCGGAGGGACGTAAAAGAACCACTGAGGATGTAATATAAACTTGGCAATGACCACCCTAAGTGGCTACTTCTCATATCAACTTACTGGTTACCTCTTAGAAATTCATAACTCATTGCAAAGCGCCTTTGGTCATATCCAGATGGAATAAGGTTTAACTATGTTTAAATTATAAATCAACCAAGAGAGCATAAACATTTATGATACTCACAATGCCTTGTGGAAGTACCCTGATCACAAATGGAACAACATCATCTCTCAACCAAGGAA